GTTTGTTTCCACACTTACTGCCAGTGGTGCAGAGTCACATGTTGAAATTTTTCTTGACTTAAATCCAGGGACACTGGGCCCACCACTGCCTGTGACAGTCATAAGAAACATCCTTTTAAATGCCTACCTTTCTTCTCTGTGGAGATGTAGTAGGAACACTTCACTGACCCTGGAAACACAGGCAGAAGCTTCAGTTGATGAAGCACCTTGGAGCTAAAACAGAAAATTTCAGATCAACACTAGTGTCCAAAGCTCGTCTAAAAGGAAACAGTTAATGTGGCCAAAGTAAACTACCTTCCAGCCGCACCTGCGTCTCACTAGGTGTTTGTCCATTTGCAGTTCTGCTCTGCCTCTGGCTTGGGTGGTGTTGTTCCTGCAGAGGCTGCTGTGTTGGATGCTTAGTCCCCAGGTTGGGGGACTGGAGGTTGGGACTTGAAGAGGTGAGATTTGGGGGTTCCCAAGGTCAGCTGGCAGTACACCCTTGAAAGGGATTGTGGGAGCTCGGCCTCTCTCTGGCTTCCTGTCTGGAGAGCGAGCTTCTCCCCGCACATGCGCTGCAGCTGCCTCAACACAGCCCTCACAGGAGCTGGTGCTGTGTGCTTCGAAAGTCAAAGTCGTGAGCTCAGTGGGTCCTCTCACGAGTCAGTATTCTGCCTCAGGTATTTCACTGTAAAACAAAAATAGCCTAGGAAAACAAAGGAAAGGAGAAGCCCTTGGGTTTTTTTTTAAACCATCTCCTCTGAAAAGCACCATGTAAAACTTACATTCATACCCACAGCTGTAGCTAAGAAGTATGAGGGTTCTAGATTCACAGATGAAACATTTTAGTAAAAAAATAATAACTTTTATAGATTTTTAAATGTAGCATAAAATATAAATTATAGACAACTCACTCTTTAACCATTGTAAGCACCATTAACGTAGTTGTGCAACCATCACCCTCATCCAGAACTGTTCATCTTGCAAAACTGAAGCTCCTGGCCTGCAGTAGCTTGCTCCTGTCTGCTTCTTTGTCACCTGGAGGGTCTTGAGCACCTCACACACAAGTGGAACCGTGCGGTGTACTGTGACTGGTGTTTCCCTTAGCATGATGTGCTCAGCACACATTCGCATAGCAGCATGAGCCGGGAGACCCCTCTCCAGGACTGAAAAGCATCCCACTGCTCGGTTGTGCCACAGCGTCCTGGTCATCACTGCTCAGTGGACACCGGAGCTGACTTTAGCCACTGTGAACAATCTGCTTCGACAGGTGCCTGTGTTCAGATGTGTCCTCCAGATCCTGTTCTCGGTTCTTCGGAGTATGTTGTTAGAAGTGGCATTGCTAAATAATAGGTAATTCTATTTTAAATTTGTGAAGAAGTCACCGTACTGTACAACTTTACATTCCCTCAAACAGTGCACATGTATTCCAGCTTTTCTATATCGTCTCAAGCACTTGTTATTTTCTGGGTTTGTGATAATGATGCTTCAATACTAAAGCCAACCCTGACATCCTGTATTTTGTTACCATCAAAGGTGAGGTCAGTGGGTGTAAAACACCAAAAGATACCAAATGTCAATGTGACTTAGCATTTCAAGCACTGATTGCTTCTTCACTTACATGAACACTGCTGCAGTCCACACCACGGTACATTCAGGTTGGCAGAGTTTCCCCCACCTCCAAAAACAGTGGAGTTGGAAGCTGGTTCTGCCACATCCTCAGAGTCACACAGACTCCCGGGAACAATTGCCGATTCTCACTGGTCAGGATATAGCACGTGACCCGCAAATGGGTGCGGCTTTAGTCTCCTTCCTGGAAGTGAGTCAGTGCTTCTAGTGAAGCGTGGATACGTTAGCTCATTGAATTCATTGGTTCTCGCTTTTTCCAAATTTTCTCTTGGTATCTTTCAATGACCCCAGCCCCTCAGCTCACAGCCTCAGTGCTGAGACCCACGTTCTCCTCACACTCGGCTCCTGCTGGGTCCGTCCGTCAGTGCAGAGTGTGGAGTCATTTTGAAAGAGCCGGTCACTTCCTACATGCTGTCTGTATTTCTCCAAGCAGTGTGTCTTGTCCAGGCTCAGTGGCCTGCTACATGCGTTCATCCACAAGCCTTGCAAATATTTCAAACTTCACATTTTCAAAACATGATTCGTTATTCCCATGTATGTGTACACACATAAATACATGCGTAACACACATACACACATACCTGCACGTGTGCACACACACATTATGGAGTGAGATAAAACGTCTAGGTCAGGGACCATGTGTGCAGGTCTGGGAAAGTTAGTTCGTCTTCCCAAGTTTCAGTTTTCTCCACTCCAAAGTGAGGCAAGCACCGCCTACCTCACAGACTAGTCTGCAGGATGAAAACAGATGTGGTGTATCCCGGTACCGATAGCCCTCGTTGGTGGCATCACCCCGTCTACCTCTGCCAGCCGGAGGCCGTGGTGTACCTTCCACTTCCGCTTACCCCTCCCGCAATCCCCCGCCCTCCCTCTGCCCCGTCTCTCGAAGCTGGCTCTTTTCTCCCGCACAGTCTACACTTCTCATGAACGGATTCGGACTCGCGGCTCCAGCGGCAGTCATGCAACTTTCCCACCCCTACGGACTCCTTTGTGCATTACGGGTCAGAAAAAGAAGATCCGTGTCAAAAACGTACTCATTCGCTAAGTAAATATACAGCATCTCCCACCCACGCCAGGTACAAGTGTCTACCTGCTGTGCAAAGCTTGGTCACCCACTCTGAGCTCCCTGTGAGAGGAAGTCTGGTTTGTACACTCACCAGCTCTGTGGCGCGTGCTACAACCCTCACCACAGCTTCAGACTACCAGAATGGCAGCCACAGCGTAGAAAGAGGCGGAAAACGTGACTTCCTGCTCTGGTGACGCAGAACAGGCTGGCTCCCGGACACGGCGCCCAGCGGAGGAGCACGGGCAGGTGATGAGCCGGTGACGTCAGGGATGAAGGCAGGGACAGCTGCCTTCCTCATCGGGTCCGCAGAGTGCATTTTCAGTCTGATTCAGCCTTTTAAAATGGCACGTGCTGACTAAACTGTAAACTGAGACAGAGCGATACCAGCGATAAAATAGGAAACATGGCTGGGTACAGCTGAAAACACAGAAATGTGTTACAACTGTCGGGTAATGTAATGTAGAAAAATCATTTTGTGTACTTTTCTTTGCCCTTGATACATTTCAATTTTATTTTATTTATTTATTGGATCTGTTCAAAACTTCAGCGTAAGTGCTCAGTCATCCTGCTGCGTAGCTTGCTGTGGTGACAAAGATTAGCCGGCCCCAGATGCCTGCGCTGAAGTCCCTGTTTCCGCTGGATCCTCTCTCCAGACCCTGCCCTAGTTTGTGACTGATACTCAGATGGAGGAGTGAGGGGATTTTAGCGCGGAGATCGAGTGACTCCAAAGCACCGCACTGACAGCGACGTGGCACTGCGGCTCCTCACGCACGGTGCTCACCAACTGACTGTGACCTGGACCCAAAGGGCAGAGAAGGTGCAGCTGTAAGGCAGGGGGCGCCTGTGTGCCGCCACAAGACGCGGGAGATCCCCACCATGCACCTTCCTCTTCATGTAGCTTCCGATATTCAAAAATAAATCAATTAATGCCAAAATGAATCTGTTTCATTCAACTGCAGTAGACCTGTTTGCTTTCAAATGCATTCCTGTCAAAGTGAAAAATAGAAGTTATTTTCTAATATCTCAGGATAGTTGTGCTTTACTTGGAAACTTCCACACAGATCTGATGATTGTGGTTGAATTGTTTCACAAACCTGCACACTCACGAGTGGCCTTGCTTACTTTTGAAACTCAACTCAGGCTGAATGAGTTGCCCAAGGTCTTTCTAAAAGTGCCTGCGGACTCTTCTGGTAACTGCCGTGTCCCACACTACTGTTATCTTCCCCACCAGATTTTTACCACAAGTTGTTTAAACACCGTGTTCTCTCAGGGTGGAAAAAATGAAGTGAGGCTGAGAAGACAGTTATGCTGAAAGACAAACAGAGCAATATGACTTATCAGAACGGGACCCTTTTTTTTTGCGCTAATGAGTACAATATACAATCTTCCAATATATATACAATGAGAAAAAAGCTTTATAACATATCAAGTATGCCACATGACTTCAGGCATAACTGCGCAGGATACATATCTAGGCCTGAGAGTGCAGATAACAAAATATAAGTGCTTTGCCTGTCTAAACATGTTAAATAAATGAGCGTTCATTATCACGTTCCAATACATTAGAAGATGGACTTGCATAGTTAATTTTTCTTCCTAATGCACCACACGTGACCATTTGAAGTGCAAAGCCAGGGTATATCTTAGTGTTTGAAGACAGGGTTCTTTTCATTTAAACAAATCTTTATTGAAATAAGCCTCCCTGAAAAGGATCTTGGGCATATCTTCTTTTCAGGAAGTTCAGTGGGGGTGAGCACAGATAAAGCACCTACACTGTGAGGGTGCTGGGGAAGTGGAGTGGAGCACCCCAAAGGGGGCACAGACAGAGCGAGAGGCAAGCTGGAATTTCATGTAACTTGCTAGATTTTAGGAGCGCTTGCTACTTGTTTTGTAGTGGGGGCATCTGGTATTGAGATCATACAGGATTTGAGAGGGAGTCAAAGAAAGAGAGATGGAGAGTGGGAGAGAGGGAAATCTGGGAAGGGAAAGACAGAACTTGCCCCAGATACTGAAAGAGCAACTTCGGATGGCCCCTGAGGTGACTTCCAGTGGCCCAGCTGGTGACTCAGGCCAACAGCTTGGTGACTCTCTCTGCCGGGGGCCTTCACTAGGTCTGTACTGATCTTGGCCTCCCCTCCACCTGCTCACCGAGCAGTCCACTTAATGCCAAGCAATCCATCCCGCCAGCGGCAGTGGGTGCCCACCTGGGGTCTGGACATCACCCCTCCAAGAGGGGCCACCACACAGCCCAGGAGCCATGCGGACAGCAGTCGGCCACACAGGCTGGGGCACCCCGGTCACTCTGTCCCCTGTCTCTCCTTCCCAGGGGGTCAGCTGTGGTGCACGACGACGAAGGCCATCTCCGAGGGCGAGGAGCTCATCGCCTTCATGGTGGATTTCGACTCTCGGCTCCAGGCTGCCAGCCAGATGGCCCTGGCGGAAGGGATGTACCCGGCGCGGCTGCTGGATTCCATCCCGCTGCTGCCCCAGCAGGCCGCCATGGCGTCCATCCTGCCCACGGCCATCGTCAACAGTGAGTGCGGGAGGGGGCAGGTGTGGGCCGAGCGGACGGGAGGACGCAGGGAAGCTGGCCTCCCCACTGGATCAGTAACAGGACCAGTTAGCATCACAGAAGCTTCCGCGGTAGAAAGAGTTCAGTCTTCTTGAAAAGCTGTAGAGTTAAAAGCTTGAAAAAAATTAAAAGCATACAAAGGCAGAATTTGATTATATATGCTATGGAAAAGGAAGTGGAGCTTGGATAATTTTAAAGTAAAACAAAGGAGAGAAAGGAAAATACATGTACGCTTTTAATATTCCACATGAAACCTAAATGTGCACTGAAAAATTTACCTTTGTGGTCTTAGTTTGTTAAGATAAATACTGAGTGTAGTTTCTTCTTCTGGAACAAAGTGGAGTTTGTAGCCCACAGATGCACAGAGGTCTAGGAGGCCCAGGAGGCCCAGGATCTGTGTTCCAGATGGATGTAATCCTCAGGAAGAAGATGAATAACAAAGTTAGAGGTAATAGAAAAATTGCACTTAGTCAAAAATATCCTGAAAAATTCCTGGTATTATGGTATAGAAAGGAAAAATAAAGACAGAAAATGATGCCTTGATATTAAAATAATTAAAATAGTCAGTAATAATTTTTTTGCTCTAAGACTACCAGAAATTCTCAGGTGATTCTGAAATTCCTATGCTAATCAATAGGTCCAACCTAATCTCGTTTGATTAGAATCCTTTGCTGTGCATCTCGTTGTTTTATTTACTTGATTCTCACTTTGATTTGGAAAGTGTGGAGCTTAAAACATGAGCTGACCTAAATTGGAGGAGCAAAAGGATTTTCTATTCCGTGGACTCCCTGTAACCTCGTGTTACTGGGAGCCTCCGATACATGAATATTCCTTCTACTTGTATTTGAGATGAGGCCGATTGCTTTCCGCAGCAAGATAACTACAGATCTCAAATCCTGAGCACAGTTGCACAGAACTTTTTTCTGGAATTAACCAGATACACGTATGCTGGTTAAATGGATGCTTGGTGAAACGTGCAGCCTCCGGAATCATGTCAGCGGCAGTCAACTCGGGAGACGCGGGCTCGATAATAGTACACAATGTTGAAATCCTTTATTGGAAACTCTACTGTGGTTACTGTCCTCATTCTGCTCACAATGAATTTGGTCCCCACTTGGTCCTTAGTTTTCTCCTGACTCCTCTTACACAATCACCTTTGCTCTTGGGCTCCCATTACAAGGCTAAACCAGCAGCTCACAAGTGCAATCCCACTGTTACTGCAGAGTTGGAGAACTCTGTGCCCCACCCCCAGGCTCCTCTGTGCTTCTTACCCAATGCCCAGTGCACCTGTCTCAAAGGACTGTGAGCCCGGGTTGCTTGGCTCAGGCCCTTTGCATGGGATCTAGAACCTGCCCCCTAGCTGCAGAGTACTCCTAAGCTTGCTGTCACTGCGGCCTCCCCCGCTGTCTTCCTCTCTGCCACCTTGCTACTGAGGCACCAGGGAAGAGTGTTTAAGACTGGCCTCCAACCCAAGTCCCGTCACTTGTGTGACTACAGACAGGTGGCTCTAGGCCCCTCAGCAGAGGGCATGAGGGTTCACACATGGAGAAATCCTGTGTGCAGACAGGGAGACGCACACCTCGTGGACTTACCAGCCATGGCATGGTGAAGAGCTGCAGCTCAAACCCTGTCCCCATCCACCCAGTGACTGCCATGGCCTCCAAAGTTTTCCTTCAACATCCACTCCCTTCCACGCTGGATGCCACCCTGGGAGGCTCTGACCTCTGACTCTGTCTGTGCCTCACTTAGGGTTATTAGTGATTGTCCAGTCACTGGGGATGCGCTCTGCACTTCCAGGTCTTTCACAGTCCTGCTTTCTCCCCTGCTCACCCAAGCTCTGTCTGCCTCAGCTCTGCAGGCCAGCGCCTACTGCCCTGCATCCCTGGGCTGCCCTGCTCCCCAGCAGCACCTTGATCCAGATGATCCAGGCCCCTTCTCAGCCGACTGCTCCATGGGAACAGTCACCAGGGCTTCTCTCACACTTCACCCCTGGAGACGGTAGACTCCAGGATGCCGGAGGCTCCATCCTCACTCTGATTTCTCACCCATGCCTGTCGGGCACTCTCAGAAGAGGAAAATGTGGCCTTCGGGTCTTTAGTCAATCAGATGACCCAACTGACATCACTAGTTTAAGTGCAGGGTTTTGCTAAACCATAAACACCGTATAAAATCAATATTTTGTGCTTTATCATTGGAATCTTCTATAGCCCCCCTTTCTAGAGAATCTGTGGGGAGTTACCCTGTGGAGTGTACCATTTCTTTACACAGGGAAACATATTTTCCAAAGAGAAGGGGCCCAAGAGATGGGGAGGTATAAAAAGAATTAAGATGCATTACATGCATGTACCAACTTCTACATGAATGTAATCATGCTGTACTGCAAACATGTGCTGATAAAAATAAAAACTAAAAATACAAACAAATAAACAAAAGCCTGTTCTTGAGTCATCGGCACACTAACCCCATCACCCCCCGCCTGCCTGTTCAGAGCCTGAGCACAGACTCAGGAGCGCGGGCCAGAGCCGCTCTGCCTGGCAGGCCCCAGGTGGCCAGCAGCTGACACCTGTGCTCTCCCACAGAGGACATCTTCCCGTGCAAGTCCTGCGGCATCTGGTACCGCAGCGAGCGGAACCTGCAGGCCCACTTGATGTACTACTGCAGCGGGAGGCAGCGCGAGGCCGCCCCGGTGTCGGAGGAGACTGAGGACGGCGCCCCGCAGGTGTCCAGCCTGTGCCCCTTTCCGCAGTGCACCAAGAGCTTCCCGAGCGCCCGTGCCCTGGAGATGCACCTGAGCTCGCACAGTGGTAAGGGGAGGGCTGCCCAGGGTGCTGCTGTCCTGTGCAGGCGGCCTGCATCTATCTGTCCAACTGTCTGTTTGTCTGTCTGTCTCTACCTCTCTTGCTGGACAGCCAGACTTATCTTATGCCACTTCTACTCAGCACATTTTACTCCAAGGACTTGGGTCTGACTTCTTCTCTAACACCCACCATGCTCAGACCACAGGCCTGGTCTTTCTGTTTCCTACTGAGGTAGAACATATAATTTTGGGAACAAAATCTTAGCTCCTTTTGTGTATTATATTAATATTCCCTGCTGTACCTGCATGTCAAATCATCTTTGGAAACTGACCACAGTGTTTCCCATAGGGAAAAAGAGGACCAGTAGATACATTAAAATAAGTATTTGAAAAACAGCAAACATTGGATGCATTGAATTAAGCTGTTATCTTGATAGACCCAACTAAAAGTCACACTTCAGGGAATTTAACTTCTAAGTATGAGTCTATAAAATGTCCTTGACTTCCAGTGTGCATTGTTAGACCTTAGTTGACTTTTATGACCTAGAACTACTGTTAGTACTGTGTTCCCAAAGAAAAACAAGGCTGAAAAACAAGCTTGTTTTAAGCTGTCTATTAACAGCAAGGTAGCAAAATAAATTCCTGTTTATTGTAGAATTATATGCCATTAATTGTTACTTTAATCTCACAGTATCTCAATTATCATACTTCTTTTTCAAATTGAGGTTAACAACATTTACATCGTTATATTAACTTTAAGCAAGGTAATTCTTGGGTGGGGCCAGCTGGAGTTTAGGAATACCAGTTCTTCAGCACACATGGTACCAAACTTGTGGGACACCTCTGGGTGACTTCCCTAGCCATTGTTGCCTAAGTTAAATAATTAAATCTGAAAGAGTTGTTAAGTTTAAAACACTAGCTCCTACTGCCAGGCTCCAGTGCAGTGCAGGCTTTCACCTTCGAGCCTGCAGAACATCACCCCCACCCATCTTCCCCATGCCTGCCCACTGGTGAGCTGAGCTCATGAGAGTCATAAAGCAGGGGAGGAAGAGACAGGGTGGGGGTCACCGGTGGTGAATAAAGTCAGACACAAGACAAAAAGAGCAGTGGTAGAGGAAGCCACTCAGCTGCGTCAGAACATGGGCACTGAACCCAGGAGGAAAGGCCAGGAAGCCCCTGTTGTCACACAGCACTGGGGGCTGCTGCCATATTTCCAGCTTGTAAGTACTGAAGGCCGTTTTCATCTGAGTCCAGAGCCCAGAGCAGCTGAGCAGAGCCCGGCTCACTTTGGTGACACTCAGCTGCCCTGGTCCTGCTGAGAGCCACCATGTTCAATGTGTGGCTGGCAACTGCAGCAGCCGGTGGTGTGGACCCTGCTCCTAAGTGCTCGCCTGGCTTAGTGCTTGGTATCTGTCTCCAAACACCAGCCTCAGAGAGAGACCGTGCTCGGCAAGTCTAGCGGACAGAGCTCTAGATTCAAACCAAAGGGGAATTGTGGTTCCTCCTTGGACTCTTCTGAGCAGAGACCATTTCCAGTGTCCCTAGAAACTTTCCTGACCATCAACAAATGTGTCCCTGTGTTCATTATTTGCACACAAGTGTTTAATAGCAACTCTGTGTCGATCAAGCCTGGTTCTGTCACTTATTCGCTTTCTTCTCATAATCGGTTCCCTGGGCCTCTTTGAGTTTGTCTCCTATCTCCTACAATGGAGATGATGACGCTTGTCCCACTTGGATGCCGTAACATGCCTGGAGATGCTATAGAGACCAGGAAGTGCAGTCACGGTGGCCACACCATCCCAAGATACTTGTATCCCCATGGGTTTCTGATAGATTGGTGCCTGTCCTCTTGAAGACCACAGGTCCTCATAACGGCTCCTGACTTCTGGGGTGAGCACGTGTGGTCCTGAGTGTCCTTGTGATGTCTCCTAGGCATGAAGATGGAGGAGTTCCTGCCCCCTGGAGCCAGTCTCAAATGCACCGTGTGCAGCTACACGGCAGACTCTGTGATCAGCTTCCACCAGCACCTGTTCTCCCACCTCACGCAAGCTGCCTTCCGGTGTAACCACTGCCACTTTGGCTTCCAGACTCAGAGGGAGCTCCTGGCTCACCAGGAGCTGCATGCCACTGGTGGCAAACTGCCCAGGGACAGCGACCTTGAGCAGTCTCCACGAGGACCTGAAGACAGCTTGCAGTCGACTGCCGACCCGCTGGCCCGAGGCGAGCTCCCTCTGGGCCAGAAGGCCATGCAGACTAAAGATGCAAGCTCTGACACGGAGCTGGACAAGTGTGAGAAAAAGACCCAGCTCTTTCTCACTACCCAGAGACCCGAAATACAGCCTGCAACAAACAAGCAAAGCTTTTCCTACACGAAGATAAAGTCGGAGCCCTCCAGCCCACGTCTTGCTTCGTCCCCTGTGCAGCCCAACGTCGGGCCTTCCTTCCCTGTGGGTCCTTTCCTGTCTCAGTTTGCGTTTCCCCAAGATATAACCATGGTTCCCCAGGCTTCCGAGATCTTGGCCAAGATGTCCGAGCTGGTGCATCGGCGGCTGAGGCATGGAAGCAGTAGCTACCCACCTGTCATCTACAGCCCCTTGATGCCCAAGGGGGCGACTTGTTTTGAGTGTAACATAACCTTCAATAATTTGGATAATTACCTAGTGCACAAAAAGCATTACTGCAGCAGCCGGTGGCAGCAGATGGCCAAGTCCCCGGAGTTCCCTGGGGTTGCAGAAAAGATGCCCGAAGCGGTGAGTCCCAACACGGGCCAGACCTCCATCAGCCTCCTCAACCCGCCCACACATCCTGCGGACCCCGAGAACCCGCTTCTTCAGGCTCCCTGCATCAATTCCTCCACTGTCTTGGATTTAATGGGCCCCAATGGGAAGGGCCATGACAAGGACTTTTCTGCTCAAGCGAAGAAGCTCTCCACCACCAGCAGCAGTGATGACAAAGTGAATGGCAAACCTGTCGATGTGAAGAATGCCAGCATCCCCTTGGTGGATGGGGAGAGCGACCCAAACAAGACGACTTGTGAAGCCTGCAACATTACCTTCAGCCGGCACGAAACGTACATGGTCCACAAACAGTACTACTGCGCCACGCGCCACGACCCGCCGCTGAAGAGGTCTGCGTCCAACAAAGTGCCTGCCATGCAGAGGACCATGCGCACTCGCAAGCGCAGGAAGATGTACGAGATGTGCCTACCCGAGCAGGAGCAGAGGCCCCCGCTGGCCCAGCAGCGCTTTCTCGACGTGGCCAGCCTCAGCAACCCCTGCAGCTCCACCCAAGAGGCCGCCGATGGGCTGGGCGAGTGCTACCACCCGAGATGTGACATCTTCCCCGGAATTGTCTCCAAGCACCTGGAAACTTCCCTGACCATCAACAAATGTGTCCCTGTGTCCAAATGCGACAGCACTCACTCCAGCATGTCCTGCCTGGAGATGGACGTGCCCATCGATCTCAGCAAGAAGTGTTTGTCCCAGTCTGAGCGGACGACTGCATCTCCCAAAAGGCTGCTGGACTACCACGAGTGCACCGTGTGCAAGATCAGCTTCAACAAGGTGGAGAACTACCTGGCCCACAAGCAGAATTTCTGCCCAGTCACCGCCCACCAGCGCAGCGAGCTGAGCCAACTAGACGGCAAAGGGTTTCCCAACCCGGAGAGCGAACGGAACAGCCCAGACATCAGCTATGAAAGAAGCATCATAAAGTGTGAGAAAAACGGGAACCCGAAGCAGCCCTCTCCCAATGGAAACTTGTTTTCGTCCCATCTAGCTACCCTGCAAGGCCTGAAAGTCTTCAGTGAAGCAGCTCAGCTCATCGCTACAAAAGAAGAAAGCAAACCTTTGCTTCTTCCCCAATGCCTTTACCCGGGAGCAATAAAGAAGGCCAAAGCAGCTGACCAGCTCTCCCCCTACTATGGCATAAAGCCCAGCGACTACATCTCGGGCTCTCTTGTGATCCACAACACTGACATAGAGCAAAGCACAAATGCAGAGAATGAATCTCCCAAAGGCCAGGCGTCTTCCAATGGGTGCACCGTGCCGAAGAAAGACTCCCTGCCACTGCCGCCCAAAAACAGAGGCATGGTCATAGTGAACGGGGGACTGAGGCCGGAGGAGAGGCCAGCCGCCACCCCACAGCAAGAGAACGCTTCCCAGAGCCCGGCCCAGGAAGATGGTCACAAATCGCCCTCCTGGATCTCGGAGAACCCGCTAGCTGCCAACGAGAACGTCTCCCCCGGGACCCCCTCGGCCGAGGAACAGTTGTCTAGCATAGCGAAAGGCGTGAACGGCTCCACCCAGACACCGAGCAGTGGCAAGTACTGCCGGCTATGTGACATCCAGTTCAACAACCTTTCAAACTTTATAACTCACAAGAAGTTCTATTGCTCGTCACACGCCGCGGAACATGTCAAATGAACGGAGGACTCCGTAGACATCAGTCACCTTTGGTACCAGTGTTTAGTATGTTGTTCTAACCCATCCAGAACACAACACAACACAACAACAAGCTGTTTGAATTACATCTGGCGATCAGGAACTAATTCACCATGGCTGAGTTAAAGACTTAAGATGTAATTTCATTACAGTCCATTAGTAAAGTGTATTCTTGGTGCCATTTTCAAAAAAATTAATTTATTTTACCAGCAGTATTCATAGCTGTGGTTATGTTATTTTTTATTTAAAAACTTTATATTAAAGTCATTTGTAATGTTATTGTATAGTTATTGTGTAGCACATATGGTTTGCACTGTATAGTAGGTTTTAAAGAAAATAGTCACAAACAATACAGAACAGCATTTTAGAAATAGCTTCAAAAGCACTTGTGTATCCTAATTTTTTTCCTTATATGCTGTTGCAGATATATGTATATGCTAAAATATAACTTGCAAAGATGTTCTAAATACACATGCTATGAGTTCGCCTTAAGATTTCAATTCTTGGATAATCAGGCTCTGTTTGCACTTTATATTTTAGCAAATACTGTCTCTTAGTCACTAGGCTTTGCATTTGTATGTAGCCGTACGTTTCTGTCCATTTTCTTAATCTTAAACATGTATGTTAAATGAAGATGGCAATTTTTTTCTTGTATAGTACTTGTATTTTCTTTCGCTGATGCAGCTCTGTCAATTTTTAAACCTTTGCTGTTAAATGCAATACTTTATAAAGATGAACAAAATTACTGGAAGCAGTATTGTAAGGAATGAGGTAGTGTTAACCAGTTTTATCTTTTGAAAGGCACAGTCTAAATCAAAACCCTGAACTCAATGCTGCAAGTATGAATTTAATTCATATATAAGATCTATTTAAATATAAGAGTAGCAATACTGCACCTGGTGATCACAGAGATAATGTTCTACTTCTGATAGAAATAATTTCTCAACAAATGTTGTTACTATGCATGGATATGGATGGAATAAAATTCCAGATTGTTGGAGAAGTGTGGCTTCCTTGTTGATCGTGAGGACCAAGGGAAATCACTGAGCTCTCAAATGTGTCATGTTGTAAACAGCAACACTTTCACATAGAGTCTATGTTAAATTTGGATGCCAGACTGATTTCTTTTTGGGTGACCTCTGTTTAATTCAGTGGACCTCAACATAGTGCAAGGATTTGAACACTATAGAACAATCCCCAAAACTAAAACTATCACCCTTCCCCAGACTAACCAACTGAGGCAAATAATCTGATCTCAGTTTTAAATGAAGCAACCCAGGTATCTTAATATTGAAACTAAACCTGAAAGATCAACTCAGAATCTGTGAAGAACATTTGTAAGCCCGTTAATCAGATGGAATATTTTCATTTTCTGGCACCACTAAGGGTTAGGAATGTTGAACGCCCAGCATCACAAAGCTAATGAGTAAGAGCCAGAGAAGTGGGTCTTGGGCTCAGATTTTATGTCCACGGCAGGCTCCTTCTCCACTAAACCAGTAGGCAGACACCAAGACAAGTCAGATACAGCTTAAAAGCCTTGGTGTCTGACTCCTGGCTTGAAAAGAAAGGCAATCAGAGGTTGCCTAAAGAGAGTCATTTCCAGGACATGACCTCCCACTGCCTTGGATGCTAGAATGTGGACTGACCAGCAGTGGAGATGCTCCTGCCCCATTGTCCTGTGTGAGACCCCGCTCAGCGGGCATGTCCACCTTCTCTTGGTCATGACCAGGGTACCCACATTCCACATTGTGACTTCCAGAGAAAAGACACTGCTCCGCTAATCCCACAGAATCACAGGTATCAGTCACGTCACACTCTGACAGAACATTTCCTTAATGTTCAAGGTGATAGAAGGGGAAGGCAACAGAAAAAGAAAATACTCCCAGGGCCAACCCCAAGTCCCGACCCCTGACCAGCTCAGCGGTCCCTGCACCATGCTCAGGTGCTGGAGACTGTTTCCCATGCCCCCTGGGACAGAAGCGTCCTCCCTGAGTTCCAGCTTCTGTAAGGTTTATTGGGGCCCTTTTCTGGGACCACTGATCTCCTGCTCAGGGTTACAGCAACAGAATAAAACACAGACAGGAGATATATTTTAGTTACAAGGGGCACCAGGATGGTCAAAGCCCAGTGATGGGCTAGGACACAAGGCACGATGTTCCTGGCCTTTATGAGGTGCACGGGATTTTGGGGGGCTGCTGGTGGGCTGCCCAAAGCAGTGGAGGTGAACAGCTGGCACAGTCAAGGTTCAAGAATTGAGGAATACTGAATTTTTGGAAAAACACACAGAAGCAGATGGTGGTTAACTGGTGACCTGATTGTCTGCTGTTACTGCTGTCCTAGAAGGGACCTGGGCGAGCCAAAGCTGAAGCTGCCATTTTGTCTTCCTTTGAGGCACCAGAACTTCGCAGACTGTAGGTTTATTTCACAGGTGACTTTTTCTAACTATCTCTGGAGTAGTTGGGATCTCGAAGTTACCACCTATCCAATACTTTCATCCAGAAGAAGGGTCCTTGTTTGTTTCCGTCACCCAGAAATGTTCTAATATCAGCCTTCCGAATAAAAGTGTTGGTCTGACAAACTCTAGGTAGTCTTGTCCCACAAAAATTCGATTTTTAACTTATTTATTCATTTACTTATTTGTTTTTGGCTTTTCTGAGATAAGGTCTCACTATGTAGTGCAGCCTGGCCTTAAATACATTATGTAGTCCAGGCTGGCCTCAGACTTCTGGTGATCCTCCTGTCTCAGCCTCCCGAGTCTGGGATCACAGGTATGTGCCACCAAGCCCTGCTCTCAGTTTTTATTGAGAGCTATTTTGCTTGGAGTTTTCCAGTTCCCTGATTGTCAGAGATTGGAAGGCATCTCAGCTGGAGTTACTTTGTCACAAAATAAAGGAAATGTGCATGCCAGGGATGCTTGCGCTGTCTTGCCAATCCCCAATTTCAGGGTTTAGCATCAACATTATTGTCCAACAACTAAACCTTTTTCAGGTTCATTTTGAGAAGTATCGATCACAATTATTGCTTTCAAAAGTAAGAAACACAAAATTAGGAAGCTGTTATGCCCTTCTGCATGTGCCTGGCAGGGATAACCTGCTAGGTTGCTTTTTGAGCGTGGGTCCCCAGGATTTCGCAGTAGTACTCAGGGTCTCCCAGTCCACCTCCCATTTTCTTGGTTTAATCCGAGCTACTCTGTACGGGGCTCTGGTTGGAGCACCACAGAGCAGGGAACTGAGACGCATGGATATCGGGGGTGAAAGAAGTCTCCAGATGAGAACCGCTCCCGACGCACAAATAGCTCAGCGACCCTCAGTGCGTAGGAGCGACTGGGCTGATCCATGAACGGTGGGAGTAGGAAAGCGCTGGTGGACGCGCACAGCTGAAGAATCAAGAAACGGATGAATGGTCAGTGGAGAGGTTCCCTGACCTAATCAGCTCATCTGTGGAACGGGATAACCTGCTAGGTTGCTTTTTGAACATAGGTCCCCAGGATTTCACAGTCACCGTGAGACAGAACCACCGCCCGCTATAGCACGGAAGTCTTACTTCTGGAGGAGTCGGTGTCTGGCACGGAATTTCAGAAGGGCACCTTTGCACAGCAGAAGAGGGACCCCTTGTTGGGGAGTGTGGAGGAGTCCGGAGGGCTCGGGAAGCACAGGAGCACAGCAGTCACGCTGAGGCCAGGAGAAGCAAGCGCGTTTCCCCGCAGCAGCGCTCATTGCGCTGCCCACGCCGCTCCTGCTGGGGGCGCCACTGCCCCACCTCCCCGCATGCGGGAGGCCAGGAGGCCTGGACTTCGGAGTCCAGCTGTCCCCAGCGCCACAGAAAGGATGAGTCCTGGAGAGGGGGCGAGGCTGGGGGGTGCTGGGAACACACCCGTCCAGATCTGGGAGGCACTGCCCCGTCTCCCGGCTGTCCCCAGGAGAGCTCCTGCCTTACACCTCCCAGCAGCGCCTCGCCTGGGCAACAGAGAATGTGGCGGGAAGGTGGGCGCTGTTGCAAGCTGTAGACCTTCCTGGGAGGAGCAGGGCAGACAGTGGTCTTGCCTAGAGTTGAGGATGCAGAGCGTGGATAGTGCTGTTTCCTTCCCAGCCTCTCTGCCTGCACGTGCGTTACCTGGAAGACGCAACAGACCAGCCCCCAAGTGCCCAAGTCCTAGGTGTGCTCTCTTTCTCCCTCGCTCTCTGACGTCTGAGTGGCGCTCAGACATCCCGGAGACAGGAGAGAGCTTGCAGCTGCTTCACGGGCACAGGGCCCTGGAACTCATGACCTGCAGAAGAAATGCACTCTTGGACCATCCAGAGCCCGGAGTCTGAGGTGAAGGCAGCTCTGTCCCCTCCAGTGGCGCCAGGAGAACAGCTCCCCGGCTTTGAGCAGCTTTGTGCTGTGAGCTGCCCTGTGGTGCGGCCGCAGGGCTCTCCTGCCTTCCCTGGGCATGCAGCCCCTGTTCTCCCCCTCTCCTTGCCAGGCCACTGTGTGTAGCAGCACCGCCATCGCAGTGGGGGTTCACGGGGATGGTCAGGATGCTGCCCTGTGGAAAGATCGTTCACCACGGCTGCACAGACATTCCCCATGGTCAGGCAACGGGTACAGAGGGTGGGACCGAGCCTGAGCCTCCACGTGACGTCCCGGCAATGGGTACAGAGGGTGGGACCGAGCCTGAGCCTCCACGTGACGTCCCGTATCAAGTAAAGCACCTACACCGGCAGGTCTGCACCGTCGCTTAGGACCGGGACCCAGGCGGGAAGCAAGCGCCTCTGATGACAGCCCTGCACCAGACAGTGCACTGGTTCGGGGCTGTCCTAGTAATTCAGACAATCACACAACCCAGATACAGCAGGTAAAAGTTTACTTTGGCGCTATCTAAAAAAAGACTTTGCTTGGTATATTAATAGAGTAAACAGGAATTGAAAGAAAATAATTTTCCGGAATCTTCGTGGCCCCATTTTGCATACAGATAATAGTTTCAAGCAGTCTTTATCTTCATATTAAAGAAGGGTGTCAGGGCTTCCTACTTGGCAGTGCTGTTTGATATTTCCTGTGTGTGACATACCCTGGTTTCAACGGCATAAATGGGTCAGAGTCTGACCCCAGACCTCCAACACCACACTGGGTTCGGTGCTCCTGAAGAAAATAATGAATCAAGGAAAATGCAGTGTTGTTATATCTGTTTTAAAATACATAGTGACAAAATGAAATAAAATTAAAAATAGGGGCAGTACATGTTCTTCAAAAAAGTAAGTAAAAGCAACACACTGACCGTGGTGGCAGCTGTCCCCAGTGGGAGGCTGGGGACAGATACGAAGTGTTTCAGGTGAGCTAGGAAGGAAGCTGATGAACACAGAAATCAGAACAAAACACCTGACCAGGAACAGACAGAGAACTGAAGGCAAACGCAGGGATCAGCCAGAGGCCGTTCCCATCAGTGAGCTCCCAGACGCAGGGACAGGGATTTGGACCCCGGGACCCACCTCCTGCCGCAGGGCAAGGCCGCCAGCTGTCACCACCAGGCCTTCCCCTTCCGGTGCCATTCGCTCTCCCACCCCTGCTCCTTCCTTCCTTCACCCTCTCTTTCCTCCCACCATGTGCTGCTGTAAATAACTACATACTTTTTAAAAGAATTGGATTTATTTATTAACAAATACATATTTCAAAAATACGCAGTGTTACTTATTTCAGCACCCACGTTGACTCTCACGATGACCCAAGTCCACACAGGTGGCTTGAGAACTCGGCAGAGGCCAGTGCCGCAGGAGCGCAGGCCCTGCGGGCGTGAGTGGGGCCTGGGCTGTGCGCTGTCCTTGGTGCTTCACGCTGCCCTGTGCATCCCAGTGTCCCTCCTGCCCGCACCAGGGCATCCTCTTCCGCACCACCCCTGCTGAGCTCAGTGACGGCCAAGCTCATCCAAGTCCGCAGCTCTTCACTTCCCGCCCTGTAAGAGTTCAGGGGCTTCTCTCTGACACCTGCGCATGAGTTTGTACCACTTTGCAACCTAGATTCTCTGTG